ATGCTCGTTTAATAGACGAGCCGAGCATAGCTCGACTTGTTTAAGCTTGACAGGCTCGAATAGTAGGGGTATTAGTGTAATTTCATTGTATATTTGATATTCTACAGGCTCGATAGGCTCGAGTTCGAACTCGAAACTGCTCGAATAGTAGGGGTATTAGCGTCATTTTTATTGTGTATTTGATACTCTACAGGCTCGACAAGCTCGAGCTCGAGCTCGATAAGCTCGACTCAATTTTAAACTCTAGTTCGAGCTCGAGCTCGAGTTTTCTAGCGAACATATCGAGTCGATCTTGAATAGTTTGTGAAGCTCGAATTACTAATCGAGCGAGCTCGAGCTGGCTCGATTAGGGGTTCGAGTCGAGCTCGATTATCACATGCTCGAGCTCGACTCGACTCGTTAACAGCTCTATTTGAGAGGCATCCTCGCGATGTGGCTTCAAACGGTGCGTTAAGACATACTCTTGAAAGGGAAATATGCCAAATGGAATATGCCACGTCCAAAAACCTGTTGGTTTTCACTTCTGACACATTGATCTGGAAAGCCATAATGGGTATGCAGAATACTCCAATTTACTGATTGCACGAATCAGGATCATCTATCAGCTGTCAGTTTTTATTATCAGCTAGGAAATAAGTTGCGGTGGTTGGAATTTTATAATGGTGTGAACATATGTCTCCTTTCCAGCAATAGAAATAGCACATCAATCTCCCTTGCTCCATTCAATACGTTTGTTCCACCTTCTAATCTATTGTGATTCGTAGGAAAGGGGGAAGGGGGTCCTCAGGCAATTAGATGATATACATGCTTCCTTGACAGTTTGGGTTGTTCCTTGGGGCCGGTTTGCTAAAATGTTTGTCAGGTGGGTTGCTAAATGAATGAAATGTAAAGGTGAATTTGGAGGACATTGCGGCTGCTCCACCCGTTCGTCTTTTGATTAAGCAAAGAGTAGTTGTATTAACTGAGTAGCATATTTTGGTACTTTTCTGATTCTTCTTTCCGGCAAATGGTCAACTACTTTAATGTGAAGCACATTGCCAACATCCACGACTTTCAGCCACTACTCCGGTCCACTATTCTTAGATGCCCTACTATTCTCTTTTGTTGTTGAACTAAGAATACACGACAGAGGCACGCAAAAGCTCTTAAGAAAATATTTTTTTTTCATTTTTTGTCAATATAATTTTCAATCATTTTTTATCTCATATACATTAAATCGTTACAATATATTTTTTAGTGTAAAAAGTCTAAAAAATACAAACTCAAATGAAATTATACTGTAACGATTTGATGCATGTAAACTAAAAAAAAGCAATAAAATAATGTGTTTACGAAAACATATTTAATATAGAAACTCAAACGAAATTATACTGCAATGATTTGATGCATGTGAAATAAAAAAAATAATAAAATAATGTGTATTTGTAATTATTTTCTCTAGTCCATTGATATTGGTGGCACTGTCACTAAGTCCATTGATATTGGTGGCAATTGGATTTAAGCATGGATTGTTGGTATTTATTTTTTTTCCAGTCCATTGATATTGGTGGCACTGTCACTAAGTCCATTGACATTGGTGGCAATTGGATTTAGGGGTAATTGTAGAGCCTCTCCTGAGGTTTCTGACATTTGCACTGACCTTCCTTGTGGTTTGAAAAATTACACTGACCTCCCCTGAGGTTGCAAATTCAGTCCAAACGATTAACATATTATTTTAGGGAGTGAAATTAAAATTTTTTACCAAATTTGTCCTTTGTATTACATGTCCAATGTATGACAAAGCACTACAAATTAATTAATAATTAATAAACTTTAAGGAGTATAGTTTATAGGCAAATACACATTACCTATTTAAAGCACCGGTATTTTACTTTCAAACATTTAATTTGTGATAAATATATCAATATTTGTAATTTTTCAAACCATAGGGAACGTCAGTGCAAATTTCAGAAACCTCAGGGGAGGTTTCTGCAATTATCCCTTGGATTTAAGCACATAGATGTTGGTATTTATTTATTTTTTTTTTCCAGTCCATTGATATTGGTGGCACTGTCACTAAGTGGATGCCAAACATTCTAGAGCCGTGGCCTTGACGTGTCTGTTCTGTTGTCCTCTAAGAAATGATGGACCCATATCAAGGGGCCGTGGTAGCTTTCAACATATCTTATGATTAATCTTTAATCGTCCCAAAAGCAAAACCTTCAGAGGCCTCACGAGTTCTATTTCGCGCAATTTTGGGTACATCCAAATCCAATTTATTTATATCAAGTTCTAAATAATTTGCATCGAAATCCTATTTATTTACGTTATGAGTAAAATTATGTAAAATTGTGCGAGCCCCAGATCCAAATCTTCCAGGCTTCATGGTAGGTCTTTCTCTTTCTCTCTCTCCTTTTTTTTTTTTTTTAATTTCCCTGTCCCTATGAAATTGACATATAAAACAAAACCTAAAAAAGTAAGGGGGGAACAAAAAAAGAAGAGTAAAAGATTGCTGCCTGTTACTCTGTCAAAGATGGCAGATGTTGGACCACCCCCAATAATTAGAATTCTAATTAAATTAAAATATTATTTGGAATAATTATTGTAACACTTTTTTTATGTGATGTATGTAACATAAAAAGGTGATTGAAAAAAAATAAATTGAAAATTGTATTTATAATGGAAGCAAATAATTTTTGGCCAAATAATGACTATTGTTAACAAGGAATTTTATGTGTCAAATCCATATTCGTGGGAGTTTCTATCCGTTGAAGAATTACTGCTAGTCGCAGGTAGGATGTTTGACTCTTGTAGGCACATAACGAGGTTTCGGGCAAATATGGAGAAGGTTTTACACCAGATTTGTCTAATAATAGGATCAACCTATTATACCCCCCCAAAAAAAAAACACAACAGAAGAAAAACTGGTGACACCAACCCAACCCTTGAAACTTGTGAGTCAAAAAAGTGCGTGTGTAACTTAGAGTTTGGATTTCTACTCATTGCACAGGGCCGAATCCTTCGCCGCATTTAAACTTGGGCTTTTGTGAGAGGTTATAAGCCTATACAGCCCATAAGTGTCAGATTGGGTTGTGTTGGCTAAAATTGAGGATTTCATCTCAATTTTAAAAAATTTTCATCCTCTTTCCATTATTTGCATTGTACTATGATTTTGTCAACTGACACAGGAGTAAAGTAACCCTGCAGCCACTGGCCATTTGGTCCGGTGATCATCATCATAATGATGATATTGGAGGTCAGGGGATCAACCCTTGCCTCCCACAATTTGGCCACAATATGTGGCTGGTCTTAGTTGACCATCCTCCTGCCCCTTCCCTTAGATTAGGCTAAAGTAAGTTATACAGCATCTATCGTTATCAGAAAAAAAAAAAAAAGTGCATGATTTTTTGTGCTTTACAATGTCCATGCCCACACGACAAATGAATACGCTAACACAACAAATACACGCAAAAATATGGGTTCAGCTGTGAATTCTATCACACATTCTAAAAAATTCTGTATCAAAACTCACATCAACCGCTCCCTTAAACTTTAAAGTGGAACAGTAGTCTCATCCATCAATCTTACCCTGCAAATAATTTTTGCTAATGGCAACCAGCCCTGTCATCATAATGCTGACAGAAACCAAATGGAAAAGGAGTAACTAGTTTTGCTTTTACTTGCTCTACTAAATCTCCTTCTTTGTTTTTCCCCACAGGTAATCAGAATAAAGCCGAAGCTTGCCGCCTCAGAAATCAACCAGGGTCGGAAATCCGGCGGCCGACAGCTTTCTTCACATTTTATTTATCAGCACAGAAAAGCCTGTGTCTGCTTGGCTTAAAAGCTCAGATTACAAGACAACATAAACAAGTTTTCAAGCGTCACGAAGTTTAGCTGCTCCGTCCGTCCTAATAATAATTGTGAGACTGTCGAGTCACCTTAAATTAATGAATTATCAGACCCTCCACCTCTTACCAGAACCAAAAGAGGAAACAGGAACTAAGGAAATTATATAATAAACCAGATTGACAATGAGGTTAGAGAACTGATAAAGGGTGGAACCATCTTTAAAGGTGCATGACATAATGACATATAATTTGAGCGAGTTTGGATAGGAAATTATTTGAGATAATATTTTTAAAAAAAAAAAAAATATCGGAATACTTTTTTCAATGTGACGTAATTTAAACGTACGTGAACTCTTGCTATCAATGATTAGGAACAGAGATTTCTTGCTAATCTACTCATCAAAATGTACTTGATGTACCCGGATAAAGTTCGATAGTTTTTAATTTATCTATACATAAGTAAATAAATGCCCTGATGCTCAAAATTGAATTGGAAAGAGTTGTGATTATTACGAATTAAAATGTTTGGAGAAGATAGAAATCATCCACTTAGCCTTAGCTTCACCTTCGGACTGAAAGGTCAAAGGTACACCTACCAGCCTCATTGTGCCATAATATTCCCCATTAAGATTTAAGACAAGTGTGCACTACCCTGCAAAGGTAAGGTTTGCTAGTAGAAACGCAAATTAAATGGAAAGAAGACAAAATTGCGTACAGCATTTCCTTCCAAGAGTTGGACATGGTGTAATGTAAACAAAATCAGCTACGTAGTACATTAATTGTTAAAAAACATCATACCACCATATAATATGATATGATATCGTTCCTCAAAATCATGCACAAAAAACAACTGATTTTGAAGATAATGACAAATACCCCTTCATCCATCCTCCACCGAAAGAAATCAAAAGCCTTCTAACACCGGATACAAGGAAAGGAGGATGACATACAGGAAAAGAGTAGATCATGTTAAAGTGCAAGAAAAAACAATATTGAACTCGGCTTCTTTCCCCGTAAGCATCTCTTTTTATCTTTTTCTTTTTTTTAATATCTCTCAAACAGTGGTAATATGAGGAAAAAAAATATTAAACGATGATCATTCTGTGAACAAAATAAAGATACCATAGCAAAATGGAAGAATCGGAAAACGGGGGATGAACAGTAAAAAGATAAAGGCTCAAAACACATGATGCTTTATTTACTTGTGCCGTTGATTGATTAACCTTAATAATCATTAGTAGTACAACAAGACTACTCCCTAATCAAACGACCTATTTTTTCTCAAAAAGCTTCTTCCATCTTCTTACTTCCCATAGCGATCAAGATGAAGAAGAACTGCCATTGGTATTGTTATGATCAAGGTCGAGATCAAGATTAGCATGGCCACTCTCGTTGTTACAGTAATGACTCTCACTATTCTCCTCCTCATCATTGTTGATGCAGCTGTCGTTGATGTTGTACCCGCCATTTTCCGGGCTGCCTCCAATTCCACCATGTTGGCGGATGTTATTACTGTTGCTCTTGTCCTCTTCCGTGATATTGGCGGTGGCGGCGGCGGCAGGGTTGGTGATGGTAATGGTGCTGCTAATATCTCTGCGGCCAACTGTATTTTTGTTGTTATGCATCCAAACTTTGAGGACTCCTCTGGCGACCCCGATCTCATTGCAGAAATTCCGGACCATATTGTCATCGCATTTCTGCATTTTCCACCCCATCTTCTCAGCAAAAGAGTGCATTTTCTCCTTCTGTTCTTGGCTGAATTTCGTTCTGAACCGCTTTCGGCCGCTGAGGTTCTCGGCCGCCGCCTTTGTCTCCCTTGGGGTTACCGGTGTTGCCACCTGATGGTGGTTCGGGACCTGCTGATCGTCGTGCGCGGCGGTGCTGAGGGCAAGAAGCATCTGGGTTGGTGGATAAGAGAGAGTTGGTGGTTGTTGCGGCGGTGGAGAGGGGGAAGAAGAGGACCTTCGGCGTTGGCGGAAGTCGAGAAAATGTGGAGCGGCGGTGGTGGTGATGAAAGGGGAGTACTCCACCTCGCGACGGTGGAAGTTGCGGTGGCAACCACAGGCGGCGCAGTTTAGCGAGGTGGGGTCGGCGGCGGTGGCGGTGGGACAAGGCATGAACTCTCCACACCCGTCCAGAGCATGGCCACCAATGTTGGCTGCATGGTTCTTGAGACATTCTCGGTAAGCCACCGCCGTCTGAGGAGGTGGTTGGCGGTGGTGGTACTTGGATGAGCCGTTGGTGAAGGGAAAGGACCTAATAGGGTGGGTATGTGGTGGGGTATCATTGTCAGTATCAGGGGTTGTGGTGGGGGTTGAGATGTTGGTTAAACCCATTTTTGGTAGATTGAGCAGCAAAAAGTACCGAGAATTGAGATCGGTAGAAGAACAGCGTCTTGCTCTATGGTTAAAACTCGAGAGAAACCATAGTTCGATTTGTGAGACTCCTGAAAATGGTAAAGGAGGGGAGGGTTGATATTTATGGTGATTTGGATGGTTGAACGCTGAAGATTATGCAGAAGAGGATTTGCTTTGAGGTTGGGGCGGGGGGGTTGTTTGATAGTGATAAATGAAACACTACTACAACTAGACAAAAAAGTCTTTCCCAAGAATATCAACCACTTGTTTTATGGAAATCCCAAGGTTTAGCGGTTATAGATCACGTTCAGACACAGAGAGGTAAAAAAGATCACTTGCAGGCAATAAATCGCCTGCATAGAAATCCATCCAGCTCTTGAGGTTTGGGATGCTGTTGCACTTAATTGTTCGTCTGTGTACTGTGTAGTATAGTAGACTATAGAAGATGAGGTTACTTACTGCCCTTATACCGGTTGCAGATCACATCCAGACGCAAAAGGTTAAATGGGGGGGGCAATAAATATGTTCTGAAATTACTCGCCAGAGAGCAATTAATTGGTTTAGAGAAAAGAGATGAGAGAGAGGAGGCCCCCCCGGGGGGGGGGGGGGGGGGGGGGGGGGGGGGGGGTTTATGTCATACGTGTACTCATTGTCAAATTAATGTACACTTGGCACGAGCAGAGGGTGTTGGGAAAACTCGACCCCCACTGCTAAGTACAGTTTATTGGCGAATTAATTTGGTAATTGGGATTGTCTTCTTACAAGCCAGGACCTTGACCTGGGGCAGACACGGCATGGGTTGATTAATTTGTTAAAGACCAGGCCAGGCTAATATAAAGGTTGAATCTTACGTCAATGGAAAGTTTGAAGCTTGAAAGTACATAAAGTTTAGTGGAATTAGCATTTAGCGCGAGGACGTGTGTCACAGTTTATACCATAGCGTTTACTTTTACCGTATGTGGAATTTGTACAAGCACTTCTAATACAATGAATGCCGCCGTATTCTTATTTGTTACTATATCGAGCTCGTCAATTTTTTTCCAAAAAAAAAAGAATGCCGTATTGGCGAAAGACTTTGACCAATGCTAAGGACTTGTAGGAATTAAAATTAATGCCGTATTGATTAGAACTTGTACAAAAGCCTTATCACCATGAGGCTCGGATCCCGCGATCGGAGAAGTGTGAGTTGACGAGGAATTATTCAAGAGATCAACCGATCATATATGTTCAACGAGTTCCCTCATTTTCATTCGTTTGTAGGACTAAAGATCGATTATTGTTGGTTGTTCCGTTTTAGGGCATACTCTGGTTTTAGAGGAGAGCAAATCGTTTAAACGTGTCTCATATTTTATCAAATAAAAATTTTCATTATTCGCTTTTAAATTAGTAAAATACGTCTCTAATAAAATGAAGTTGATAAATTTAGGTCTCAACTTAAATTTTCGTACCCTTCTTACCCTGTGGTCATTTATTTAAGGAGAAAAAAAATGCTAAATTTTATTTTTAGTTAAATAAATAATTCGATCTATATTTTAGTTTTGCCCCTAAAAAAAAGTGAAAAAAGTGGGATTTAACCTAATCTATATTCATTTTTGCTACTAAAGAAGTGAGACATGATTAATGATGACAATGGAGGCGGGCGACCGTGGGTACCCTTCCCATAGGAGAAGTCATGGGACAAGGAGTGGGTAGGATGGGTGGCTGCAAGGGTGGAGGGATTTTTCTCCCCCCATTTTAAATAAGGCAAATGACAGGGTAGGATATCCAATCTCATCTCCAATACGATATAATTTTCTACATATGCACATATACAGATTATAATTACATATCAATAATGCATGCATATATCATAATTTATATGATAAAATGAATATTTTATATTTTTAGTTTTACTTGAACTTTTTACATATTGTAAGTTATTTATCAAAAATAAAAACAACATATGATGGTTGTAAGTTTAGTTCGGCTATCTATATTATAGCTACACATCAATAATATATGCATATCTATTATAATTTGAGAACTCTATTGTTTAGATAGAGTATTATTTGAAATAATTACTGTAGCACTTTTTGTGATGTGATGTATGTGAGATAAAAAATTGATTGAAAATATAAAAAGGTGGGTTGAGGAATGTGTTTATGATGCAAGTGAAATATTATTTGGAATAATATGTGCATCCAAACAAACGAATTAATTTTTAGATAAAACAATAATTTGGTTATTTTTAGTTCACTTCAAAATTTTTTTTTTTTTTACATCTTGTAAGTTCTTTAAACAAACATGATGATTATAAGTTTAGATTTACTACTAAAAGTAGAAAAATAGATTAACAAATATCAAAATGATTTTGAACATTGATTTTACATTGAATGTTTAGCTAAGAATCTAAAAAAAAGTGGTTAACAATAGAAGTGTTTGATAGGAGATTATTTGAAATAATTATTATAATACTTTTTTGCGATGTAATATATATAAAATAAAAAGTAATTAAAAAGATAAAAAAATATATTAAAAAATATATTTGTAATGCAAACAAATAACTCCTCTATATATATATATATATATATATAGTATAAAATAACATATATAACTAGACAACCATAGGAGCACGTGTGGGAGTATGAGGAGGGGCGAGTCAGGGTAGAAAAAGCAGGGACTGGGGAGATATTTTAGTGCACAGGGTAAGGGGACAAGAGAAGGACTCCCTAGCCCACGCCTCGCCTCAGTGCCATTGCTAGACTTTTTTTATGCATAAAAAAATAATTATTTGTAGATCACATTTTGATTTCAAGCTAAATAGTAGTTAACATTCTAGGTTGGAATCAAATTTTATTAATTTAAATTTATAAGAGACGTAAATTTACAATTTTAAAAGTGAATGGTGAAAAAATTCATTGGACGAAATATGACGATTTTTTTTCCCTTTGGAGAAACTACATGAAGTCTTTTATTATTATTATTTTTTAAAAATTTTCCCTAATGAAAGAGGAGTACGGTTGAAGAAGCTGAGAGGAGAAATGGGAGAGGCTACGTGACTTCAATAGAGCGCATTAAATTCTTCTAACAAATACTTCTTCCACGCAACATAGAGAAAATTACAAAAAAAATGTAAACATCTCATAGTGAAAATAGTTGGTTGAGAACACATGTAGTTTTTTTGTTATCAAAATTACATCTTAAGCTAAGCTTTTCACTCATCCTTTTTTCTTTTTTCCAAATTTTTTTGTCAGTACCATCACTCCATAGACTCTTCTATTTGGAATTCGATTAAAATCATTACCATGAAAGAGTAAATCAATCGTATTATCTTCTTTATTTTAGCTTCATTTTTTCATATCTAAAAATTCACCACCTGATGACATCACGAAACCATTAATCATAAGTTGGATGGTAAAGCAATAAGAAATCCATTCCTACCAAGAAACACAAAATCTGATCATCAAACTAAAATGCCAATCTACGATGTGAATTTAGATCAAGGGTATCAAATTATATGATATATATATATGTTCAGTTGTACGTTACATTAACCTCCACCTTGTCAATATAAACTAGTACTAGTATAATAGAGTGCTTCCGTCATGCTACGTCAACACATAATAATTAGAAAGCCACAAGGGCTATGAACATTCTTATCATTTCCATAGTAGGAAAAGAAAGACCATCTATCTTGGAAACATAAACTTTCCCCATCTGCTAAGCACGATTAAAGAATAGAATGAAAAATTGAGTGGGTGCATCTTGTTAATCACTACTATATCATTTATCTAATCAACAAATTGTTTGACTGACCCCATTAAATATACATATATATATATATATATATATATATATATACTGTATTTGTTTAATAGATCACGTCTACAAGTATACTTCAAGACTTGGCTGTGATGTTAGATGTAAGGATTCAAGCGAGTTAATCAAAGAAATCAAGCATTACAGTCTATTAGAGCTCGTAACCCTCCTATAATTTGATGCCCCTAAAATGATTATTGAGCTTAAGACTTAATTTAATGACCATTTTCTCTACTAAAACTTAGGCCTTGTTTGGATTGCCGGTTTCCGTCGAAAAATTTCGTCATTTTTCGTAATCATATTTTTCTATTACCTTTTTTTTTCACACACATCAATTTACTACAGTAATTTTTTCATGAAAAATCACGAAAAATATAATCCAAACACGTTTAAGGATCACCCCTACTGACACCTTGAAATAAAATATGTTTGTAAAATCGCACTAATCGGCAATAGGCTAGCAGTCTAGCCTGCGGTCTTGGAAAGGTGCAGAACCGGGGAGCTCTAGTCGCCCAATTGTCAAGAAGTCACCCTATTGTTTGACGAGACAAAAAAATAAAAAATAAAAAAATCACCCTATTGATTCTCCGCACATTACCAGGGTGGCAGCCAGTGCCTTCAGCTTCACGACTGCTTCAGCATCCCGTTGCGAATGCAAATTGTGCAATCACACTCAATCATACTCATTGGGAACGCAAAACATATAATTGAAACGTGCTGAGCAGAAATGAAGTTGGCACCCTTTCTTGTTTGGATTGTGATTTTTTACAAAAAATTTTTTTTATTTTTTTAATATATTTATCAATTATTTTTTTACTTTATATATATATATTAAATTTTTATAATACTTTTTTGATAAAATTTTAAAAAATTAGCAAACCAAACTGCATGTTTCTTAATTGGTTTTTTCTTTTAATTATCTTTTTATATTACATTACAAAAAATACTCTATAAATTTATTTTAAAATTTTCCAAATAGTCTCCTCCGTTAAAACAATTAATTATTGAAAATTTTCTATTTTAATCACTAAATTTTTTGTGCAACGTTTCTATGGTATTAGAGGAGCAAATGCCGTAAATAGTCATTAAATTATTAAGAATTTCCTATTTGGATCCCTGAATTTTTTATTTAACCAAAATAGTTATTTAACTAATGTCAAAGTATTTTTTTTAATCATCCAACTAATAAAGATTTTGTACTTTTGGTCACTCAACTAATCAAAACGTAAACTTGTTGGTCTCAAACTATTATATATGTTTTTATTAGTGTAATAGCCACTTTGCCTAAATAATATATTTAGTAACTAAAATAAAAAATTTACATTTTTTCCCAAATAATATATTTTTGGCCTTGCAGTTTGACAGTAACAAAAAATGAAAGAGTATTCAACTCATCTATCATTATATTATTCAAAGTGCTGCACTGACGTGAAACAGTTTCAAACGTCCTTTTTTTTCCCCTCTTTGCGTGCGGAGAAGAAATTTTTTTTAACAAGCACTCCTCTCAAATCGCTCAACGGTTTGGATTACAATTGTTTTTGGAAGTTTTTATAGAAAAGTCAATTGTAGTACTTTTCGAAGATATGATATATGAGATAAAAATTGATTAAAAAATGTGATACAAAATATTCTCACAGAAATGCAAAAAAAAAAAAATTTCACAAAAAATACAATCTTTTGTTTGGATACCTCATTTTTCCAA